ATTTAAAGAAAAATAATTAAGTTCAAACATCCCTACCGTGTCATAGCTAGTCTAATCATGTTAGAGTTAGTGAGTTCTTTTGATTCTTTCTGGTGGTCATGGTACCTAAAGGTAACAAATTTGAAAGTAGTTTAAACTTTTTCTGAGATTACTTGGAACTTTATAATGTAATCCCAAAGAGAAATCCCTAAAGGAGTGGAGGAAAGGGCCAATTATTTTGCTAGTTGTTGTTTTTTGATGGGACTCATTTATTTATTTATTTTAAAAAATTTTGGGATGCCTTGGTGGCTCAGTGGGTTAAAGCCTCTGCCTTCGGCTCACGTCATGATCCCAGGCTCCTGGGATCGAGCCCCACATCCAGCCCCACATTGGGGCTCTCTGCTCAGCGGGGAGCCTGCTTCCCTCACCTCTGTCTCTGCCTGCCTCTCTGCCTGCTTGTGATCTCTGTCAAGTAAATAAAAAGATAAATTTTTAAAAAATTTTATTTATTTGAGAGAAAGAGAGTATAAGCAGTGGGAGAAAGCAGACTCCCTGCTAAGCAGGAAGCCCAATTCAAGGCTCCATCCCAGGACCCTGGGATCATGACCTGAGCCGAAGGCAGATGCTTAACTGACTGGGCCATCCAGGTTCCCCTTTAATGGGACTCATTTAATTTTTAAATCATTTACCACTCCTTCCTAGAGTTATGATACAGATGATTTAAAAACAAAACAACAACCCCCAAAAAAAAAAACCAAACAAACCACTGTTGTGGCTTCACCTTCCTTAATTCCTTGAAGTTGGGACCTTAAGAACCTTTTAAAAGGGGCGATGTAATTCTGCAGATGTTTAGGCACAAAGATACAGTAATTGGTCACTTTCATATTTCGGTTAATTACCATCTCCAAAATATTCCTCCTTACATATTCTCTGCCAGATAAGAATATCTGAGGCAGATATTTTGTATTTTGGGCTCACCTAGGGTACCAGGACCTATCTCTTGATAAGATAACTTGTAAAAACTAAGTCCTAGAGGAAGTGGAGGAGGAATGAGACAGATACCTGTGCTCCTGGCAGAGGGAAAGACAAGTCCTTGAAGTGAGAACATGCTTGAAGTGTTTAAGGCAAGGAAAGAGGCCAATGTGGCTGGAATGGAGTTAACAAGGGGGAGAATGGTGAGAGATCATGTTCAAGAGAAGTGAAAGGGAAATATAAGATCATGGTCCTTATGGCCTTTGTTAGGGATTTTGGCTTTAGACTGGTGAGATGGACTCAGAGGGTTGAGCGGAAGAATAACATGATCTGACTTTCTTTTGTAAAGGCCTAATCTGACTGACTTATTGAGGTGAGCAAAGGGAGAGGCTGAGAGATCAGATAGGGAGCTATTAGAGTAATGCGGATGAGAACTAAGGTGGCAGGGACCATGGTGGTTAGAGTGGAAATGTTAAAAATGGTAACATTATGGATGTCTTTTGAAACTGGAGCTCCCAGGATGAACACTTAATGGGTAACGATGAATATTTCTGCACATAGTGTTTGACCCATTTTTAAATGATGTTAAGATTAATTGCTGGGTTCAAAGTTTGTCTACTTGATTTATCTATTATAAAATTTCCTTTTAGTTTTTTACCTAATGGTTTTAGCAACCATTGATCATTATTTATTTATTTATTTTTAAAGATTTTAATTTATTTATTTGACATACAGAGATCACAAGTAGGCAGAGGCAGGCAGAGAGAAGGGAGCAGGGAAAAGCAGGCTCCCTGCTGAGCAGAGAGCCCGATGCAGGTCTCAATCCCAGGACCCTGGGATCATGACCTGAGCCGAAGGCAGAGGCTTTAACCCACTGAGCCACCCAGGCGCCCCCATCGATCATTGTTTACATCCATTATTTCATTAGGGTTTACGAAATGATGATTTTCTAATTTTATATTTATATTTCTAATTTTATAATTTGGAATTTCAAATTTTATAATTTGGAATCCTATAAAAAAGAGCTTTCACTTTTTAACTGCTTGGTTACTGTAGGGTATTTTTCATATAAGAAAGCCAGGATAAGTGCTTGGTTCTTTCCCTTTTTTAACTTTTCAGAGTAATAGGTTAGTACTTGTAGCAACCTCCAGAGACAACCATGATTTTTAAAAATATATATATATATATTTTTTCTTTAAAAGATTTTATTTATTTGACAGAGAGAGATCACAAGCAGGCAGAGAGGCAGGCAGAGAGAGAGAGAGAGAGAGTGAGGAGGAAGCAGGTTCCCTGCCTAGCAGAGAGCCTGATGTGGGACTCGATCCCAGGACCCTGAGATCATGACCCGAGCCGAAGGCAGAGGCCCAACCCACTGAGCCACCCAGGCACCCCTTTAAAAAATATATTTAATGTTTTGGGGGCACTTGGGTGGCTAAGTCATTTTAGCATCTGACTCTAGGTGTTTCGCTCAGGTCCTGATCTCATGGGTCATGGGATGGAGCCCCACGTTGAACTCCACGCTCAGTGGAAGTCTGGTTGTATATTCTCTCCCTCTGACCCCTTCCTCTGCTCATGTGCAGTGTCTTTCTCTCAAATAAAAAAATCTTTAAAAGAAAAATATATATTTAATGTTTCAATCAGTGGTAGTCATTACCACTTTGATGTCCAAAATGTCATTACCATTTGATGTTCATTTGATCTTAAAACATGTCTTCAGCATAAAAACTGTAAAACAAGGTTGTGAAGTCGTGACTTTCATCCCTGTCCCTTCCATCCTGCTTTCTCTTTTTCCTTTAGATAACCATTTAACAATGATTTTGGTTTATCCTTCCAATGCTCTTTTCCTTTTGAAAGAAAAAACCCCGAGGTCTGTATTAATATTTGTAGTCTTCCCCCCCCCACCCCCGCCCTTTTTTTAAACAAAAAGAATAGCATTGTGTGAAATACTAATTCAGGTATAGTATGGGAAGTAGAGAGTTACTGGTTTCCTTCATGGTTATTCTTGAGACTTGTCAACTTTTTATTCCATGTAAAAGAATTTCTTATATTTCTTCCTGTCTCCACAACTAGTGGTTAAAGAACATACATGTTAAAAAAAAAAATAGCCTACTTTACTATTGGGACTTCATCAAGATAAAAAACTTTTGCACAGCAAAGGAAAGAGCAAAACCAAAAGACAGCCGGCAGAATGGGAGAAGATATTTGCAAATGACATATCGGATAAAGGGCTAGTATCCAAAATCTATACAGAATTTATCAAATTCAACACCCAAAGAACAAATAATTCAGTCAAGAAATGGGCAAAGATAGGAACAGACATTTCTGCAAAGAAGACATCCAAATGGCCAACAGACACATGAAAAAGTGCTAAGTATCAGGGAAATACAAATCAAAACCTCAAAATACCATGTCATACCAGTCAGATGGCTAAAATTAACCAGTCAGGAAACGACAGATGTTGGAGAGGATGCGGAGAAAGGGGAAACCCTCCTACACTGTTGGTGGGAATGCAAGCTGGTGCAGTCACTCTGGAAAACAGTATGGAGGTTCCTCAAAAAGTTGAAAATAGAGCTACCGTATGACCCAGCAATTGCACTATTAGGTATTTAGCCCAAAGATACAAATGTATTAATCCAAAGGGGCATGTGCATCCAAATGTTTATAGCAGCAACGTCCACAATAGCCACACTATGGAAAGAGTCTAGATGTCTATCAACAGATGAATGGGTAAAGAAGATGTGGTACACACACGTGCACGTGCACACACACACACACTGGAATATTATGCAGCCATAAAAAATCGGAATCTTGCCATTTGCAGTGATGTGGCAAACTAGAGGGTATTATGCTAAGTGAAATAAGTCAGTCAGAGAATGATTACCATCTGATCTCACTGATATGAGGAATTTGAGAAACAAAACAGAGGATCATAAGGGAAGTGGGAAAAATGAAACAAGACAAAACCAGAGAGGGAGACAAACCATAAGAGACTTTTAATCTCAGGAAACAAACTGAGGGTTGCTGGAGTGGAAGAGGGTAGGAAGGATGGGGTGGCTGGGTGATGGACATTGGGGAGGGTATGTGCTATGGTGAGTGCTGTGAATTGTGTAAAACTGGTGAATCACAGATCTGTACCCCTGAAACAAATAATATATTATGTGTTAATGAAATAATAATAAGAAAATAAAAAAGAAATAAGAAAAAAATAGCCTACTTGCAACATTTAGCAATATTTAACAAAATTATATATCTAGCAATTCCCCGTTTGGAGTTTCCCCCAAAGATTGCAGTAACAAAATTACATAGTGACGTATGCCTTTGTTCTGTTCCTTGAAGGCTGGTACCGTGCCTTGTCTTTTAATTATGGGCTTTGTTTGCTGGGGAAAATACAATAATGATGATGTAGTTGGCATTGATAGCAGTGGTATATGTGTGGAAGAAATGTTATTTTGAGGATTTACCATTTTGAAATAGTACCAGGTTAAATATTTCATCAATTAAAATTACATCACTCATCAGTTTATTCATTCTTTCAATGAATATTTACCGAGCACTTACTGCACGGCAGTCATTGTCCTAAGTGCTCAAAAGATATCAGTAAATAAAGCCAGTAAAAATCTCTTCTGGACCCTTCTTTCTATAGGGGTGTGTGGGGGGAAAGATACAAACATACATTATCAGTTAATTTATTTTTTCCAAATGTGGAGTTTTAGGGCTTCTCTTTTTCCTTTTTTCTTTTCTTCTTCCAGTCTGTACATGGCATTCTTAGGAATTGCAAGACCCTGCTGGGTGAAGGCATTTAGGACTGAAGAATTTATAGATTTTTATACTCAGTATGTGTAACATAATTCTGGTCCCATGGGGTGACAGCATGTATTCGAGCTCTCTCACTTCATCCTCAGCCCTGTTAATGTTTTTTATTAGAAGGTTGCTCAGGAAATTTTTTGATAACTCTTTTTATAGACACTAAAATTTAGGAAATTGTCCTTAAAGATTTGATGTTTTTGTTATGATATGTTCTTAATGACTATGTCTTTATTTCAGAAATGACCATTAAGAAGTAGACGCCCAGATGCAAAAGTGATGAAACAGTCAATTTGTCATAAAGTAAGATGCAGCTGTGGCTTTTCAACCAGATTAGTAAGTGTGGCCCGAATTTTTTAAAACTTTATACTTATTTTATCTACTTTGAAAAATATTTACTAGAAAGTATAATGGACATTTTCTTAAGTGTCAGCTTGTATTTCTCTTGTTACTTTGGACTGTAGTACAAATTAGAGCGTGTAGCTCTACAGAATGTATGCCTGTGTTGTACCTTTTTAAGACCCGTAAAGGTAGTTTTATAAAATCAGAGCTTTAGAGGAAATACATGAAAAAGAGTCACTCTGTTACCACTATCTGAATGCAGCTCCTTTAAAAATGTTTGGATATTTGTTTTCCTTCCCAGTCTCTGTTCTGTACATTTTTAAAAAACCATCATTTTGATCATAGTATTGTGAAGAGTATGCTTCTCTTATATATTTTGAAATTAAATGTTTTAGATGTTTCTCCCTGTGAATAAAAATGTACTCTTTAGTACAGGGTTTCTTATTGGGGTAATGAAAATGTTCTGGAATAATATGGTGGTGATGGTTACATAACTTTGTGACTATAGTAAAAACCACTAAATTTTGCACTTTAAAGGGATGAATTTTATGACATATGGAGTACACCTAAAAACTACCTTTCAGGATCTCAAATCTTGATAAGAGTAAAACCCAATTGAGTACCGATATTTAGAATATGAAAATGTGCTGAGACATCACTATGTACCTAGAAGAAATGATTTGATAGTCAGTAGAATAGTCTTTTTGTAATAATAAAAATAATGAATTTTATAATATTTTAATACAAATATTAAAATACTTTATTTTTTATACTTTATAAACTTTATACTTTTTATACTTATTTACTTTATTTAAGAGACTTACTGTCTCTTAAGTTTTGGTAATACCAAATGTCATGACATTCTGAATGTACTATATCAGCATTTTGTTAACTTTTTATTTTTAAGAGACTTCCTGTTTTAAAACCAAGATTTTTAACTTTTCTACCTGAAATATTTTTAGGAACAGAATTGTATCTATTCTTCTCAGAAGAGAATTCCACAAGGTAAGAAATTGTTACTATAGTAGTAAACAAATATAGTTGAATATAGGCTTAATTACTCTTTATTTTTTAATCCTTTCCCTATATTTATTTCATATCTTTTCTTGATTATTACAAGAGTATCACAAATTTTTTAGCTCCTCCTTTACTACCTCAGAATTTGCAAACACGGTACATCTCATGTTATTTGAAGTTAAGATTAAAAGGGTATGATAAAAGTAGTCACCTTTGAAACTCAAATACTGCTTTTCATGGTATCCTTATTCCTGGTATTATTAAGGAACTTAATTCCTAGGATCCTTAGGATTGGGTTTGTCCATTTTAGAAAATAAGTTTTCTTCTTCCTTTGGGACCCACTTAGCTTTTTACCCCAGTGGACATTACCTAAATGACTTGGGGTGGTAGAGGAGTCATAGAGGCTCTATTAGAGGCCTTAAATTAAGGGAGATTATTTACCTGGGTTTCCACCTATGAAAATTATAGAACTCCTACATTCAGTTTAAAAAGTGGAATGCTTTCTCCTAGGTAATTAGTAAAATATTTAGTAACAGTTAGTATTAAAAAAATTCCAAATATCATCTTTACAATGAATTTTAAATCAACATTGATTTAGATTGTTAGACTCTTTAGACTTCTGAAGGATGATATGTTCAAGTGAGTAGATAGTAAAATCACCTCTTGGTGTGCTTATTACCCTATGCTAGGAACTTAAAATCAGTTGCTTGGCTTTAACAGGTTACATTTACGGGAACTCTTTGGTACGGGTAGTAGTGATCACTGCAGGTGAATTTAATCTGTCAACTGGAAAAATGCTTATAAAATGTATTATTCAGATCAATAACTGTTTCTCATTTATTGTCCTTTGTCCTGAGGGGAACATGGGCTCTCAAACACATCTTTCCCACCTATTTTTGAAATTACCACAGATTTAATCAGGTCAGTTTTTATCCTGATAACTGAAAACACAGGGTTAAAATAAAGAGACCCGTTGGCTCATGAAGTGACCCGTTTCACTTCCAGGTTTCTTGTGAAGCTTTTCCCGTGTATTTTTCTTCTATCTTTGGAGGGTTAAGGGAGAGAGTCATGGAACCTGCGTATATAGCACTATCTGACCCTCCAGGTGCTACTCAAAGGCAGTGCTTCAGGAGAAATCCAGATCGTTCTTTTCTTGGACTATTGTGCTTAAAGTGAAAACAGAAATTTCAGAAGATTTAATTTTAGTCCTTTGTCCCTGTTCTTGGGGCAAATGGAGTTTGAATTCTTAAACATTAATACAGCTTGTGATACATTGGTGATGGATCATGCTATCTGATATCCTTAGGGCTCTCCTGTTCAGTAAATACCTATGTTTATAAAAGCTCAGATTCTTTCATAGTTTTTTTTAGAGTAGAAGATAATCAAAACAAGATTATTCATATTTATATAGTATCATCCTCCTACGCTGTCAAAAGGTATTAAAAGGACAGTGACAACTTTAATAAAAATTGTTAATTGTACACTAGCAAATGGTTGAAGTGGTAAATTTTATGTTATATATACTTTACCACAATTTAAAAAATTGTTTAAATTCTTGAGCAACTCTGTTTACTGTGAAAGAGGATGGCTATGCTTGAAGTATCAGTTTTTAATCTCAATTACTGGAGTATTGAGTTAGTGATATTCCTTAGTTTGTGTCATACCCATCATCACTGTTCATTAAAGGACTGTTTTTCTGTATTCCTTTATAACTAGTCTCTATATAAGTGACCCTTTAATATATTTGATATGTATCCCTTTATGTCATATAAAAGGTTTTATTATTTCATGTATTTTAATTATACATTAGGCTTTAGTCGAATTCTTGTAGTCCCCTTCACTCACCTCCCTCTTTATTTCTGAAACCTGGCCATATTGCTGAGTGTTTGTTTAATTTGTTTTGTCTAACTGGTACATTGTATTTTAGGTTATTTATTAAAATGAAACTGTTAATGTAAAATTCCTTAAATGTATAAGGAACATTAAATGAACATTTAAGAGAAGTCCAATTTGTGTTCATTTTTTTATATTAAAATGGTATCTAGGGTGCCTGGGTGGCTCAGTGGGTTGGGCCTCTGCCTTCGACTCAGGTCATGATCTCAGGGTCCTGGGATCGAGCCCCACATCAGGCTCTCTGCTCAGCGGGGAGCCTGCTTCCCTCTCTCTCTACTGCCTACTTGTAATCTCTCTCTGACAAATAAAAAAAAAAAAGTTGTATCTAAAAGATGGAATTAAATACTGTGGAAGAGAAGAGGAAACATAAACATCTGTCTCAAAGGCCAAGAGTCTGTTAGAACAGTCAAAGGAAAGAATTGTGGGGCCTAACAAAAACATGTATTTTTCTTCTAGAAACAGTGTGTTAAAATGCTCTGGTCTCAGTGTTAGCCCACAATAACTTAATAATTGAAAGATACTGGTAATATTTTGGAACTTCCCCATTACCTATTACTTCATTAATTTCTACCTTGTAGTGTATTTCTTTGATGCATAGCCATATTCTGTGAATTCCCATCACCGAATCTAATACAGAGTAAGAACAGTACAAATGTAGGTTTCTAAATTTGGGATGCAGAAATACAATTTCATCTGTAGTAGCACATTATTAGCAAAGCAGCTTCTCTTGGATCTCCTAACTAGAAACTACCAGAGAGTGGGAACTTCAGAAGCTCTGTGTCCATGGTGATGGTATGCCTTGCACCAATGAAAAGGATAGAAAGAGGAACACTTCTGTGAGGGGATAGGGTGATTCCTGACTTAAGAAGAAGGATAATGACAGCTGTGATCAGATCAGGGAAGGGCTTCCAACAGATAGAAAAAGCTAAAGGTACCTTGTGGGGAGCAATTTGTGTGGAAGGAGGATTTTAGGGGCACTTTGTTCTGGGAGCTAGGAGAAGATGTTACTGATTCAGTAATGGAATGGCAAGGGGTAAGGGAATTCATGTTTGCTGAAAGTGAAGCCAGTTTGAAGCTTATTTATTTATATGTCAATACTTAAGTATTTTTAAGATCTTTGGGGGGAAGACCAGCAACTCTGGAGGTTGTTACTGATTTAGTATCCCATGCATTGTTTAATACTCCCTACACTCTTTTTAAAAATAACAGTTTGGAGAATTAGATTAGACATCAGGTAACATAGTCCCTTTTTCTAGTTTGATTGGTTTCTGAGTATTTTATATGGCTTAGTAATTTCATTACTTTCACTTTGTTATCTTAAGAGATGGCATAAGTAAAACAGTCCCATTTTACAAATGATGAAACTAGAAGTGGAGTGAGCTTTAGGATTTTTTTTTTTTACTAATCTATACTGCCACCCTGTCAACTGATATTTTGCCCTATATAGGATATTTAGTTACTAGTTTTAATTTAAAAGAAATGTTTCTGACCTGGAAGAACCTCATAGCCTAAAACATTTTAAAAACATATATATACAAACAAAAATATAACCAATGAATAATTATTGATAGTCACTTAACCTTAAGGTTCATTAAAAAGCTTTAATAAACTCACTTCACTTTTGTCTGCTACTGTTAATATAGAACATTATTTCAAAAATATTTCCATTTTAGGGCACCTGGGTGGCTCAGTCGGTTAAACATCTGCCTTTAGCTCAGGTCATGATCTCAGGATCCTTAGATCCAGCCCCATGTGGGCCTCCCCACTCAGTGGGTTATCTGCTTGTCCCTCTCCCTCTACCACCCCCACCTCCACTTGTACACTTTAGCACTCTCTCTTTCTCAAATAAATGAATGAAATCTTTTAAAAAATTCCAATTTATAACAAATAGCATAAATTTAGTTTCTTTTAAGTTTAGAATATGCCTGTTTACTTAAGGATTTGGGGTCTAGGTAGATGGATGGGACAATTAGAATCCCCAGTTTGTGGGAATGGAATAAGCAATATGATCTCACATATTTCAGAATATGGTAATCCCTTCCCCCCAAATCATTTGTTTATAGTATGAAAATCAGGGAAACTGTGTTATAAACCTGTATTTTTTTCCCCTGAGTGACTTAAATTGGTTCAGGCCCAGCTTTAGTGGTATAAGTACAGATCAAGTTTGGTTTTGAGTAATCCAGTTTTATCCTGGCGCATTCTAGGTCTGGAGTGTCTTTGGATATACTAACCATTTGGTTTCAATACCTCATTGACATTTGATCCTCTGAAAAGATTGTGAGAGATTTCACATGTAGGTGGTGGGATAAAGGAACCCAGATTGTCTCATAATCTATTGAGTAGATTGGAGTTATAGGACTTTGAAGTTTAGTAATGTTATTGTTATTCAAAAATAGGCTGTGGTGTTAAAAAGCCAAGTCTTCTGACTCTGATTTCTTATTGTATATTAAGACTTCAAATGTGATTTAAGTAAATATGAACTTTAAAAAATGTGGATAACTATTTTTTTTATAAAAGAATACAGTTATTTCAGATACCTTTTTTGTTTCACGTTCCAGTCTTCTTTAGAATTCCATATGAGCTGCCCCCTTTTTTTTTTTAAAGCCACTTGCTTTCGAATTTAAAAAAGAAAAAAACCAAAAAACCAAAAACTCCGAATAGGTTGAAACTTGACACAAACTGCTGCCACAGAACAAAAGTGCTGACCAAGTTAAATCAGCCCCTGCAATGTGTGTTGAAAGGAAAACCTCTCCTCTCTCGCCCAGTTTGAAGAACAAGCATTTTTCCTGCCAAGAAGGGCTGACTTTAAATGGACCAGCTGTCCATATTAGGAGCATTGGGTTGCTAAGGTGACCAGGGCTGTTTGGAGAAGAATGCAGCTGAGAGGGCAAGTTCTTGATGTGTGAGCTGAGGGAAGGAATGTGGTGTGATTGTGCATCATTCCTCCTAATCACATGCTCACAAAGTGCTGTGTGGGCAGCATGGAGAAACTACAAATCTGAGGGCTACAGCTTGTGTGTGGTTAAAATCGTTTTGTTTCCATGTGAGCCTTAGGCTTACAGTTTAGATTGAAAACATCTACCTTGTGTATGAGT